AATTTATTTCTTAGCCAGTAGCCAGCAGTGTGTGTGTACCGCGTGCACGCGCATCAGGACACGCCCGTTGTCCTGTGGCCAGGGACCTGCCAGCAGCGAGCGTCCTACCCCCGCCGCATGTACCCACTCCCCAGGACAGGCCCTGGGTAGGCATCCAGCTCTGGGCCAGCGGAGGCCTCACCCGCAGGAGCCGGAAGGAGGGTTCTCAGTGGTGCCCACGCTGACGCAGCCCTGTCTCCACAGCATGGGCGGGATCCCGGCCGTGAACGGTCGCGGGGAGCGGCTGCTGCTGCACATCGGCATCATCGACATCCTGCAGTCCTACAGGTGCGCCACCAGGTCGCGAGAGGCTCCGCCTCTGCCCGACACTCGCGGGGAGCCTCCATCACGCCCCCAGGGCTGTGCATCCGCTCTGGTCACTGACAGGCGTTGCCCCCGCCCACCACGCCTCTGGGAGCTCCGCCACGCCCCCAGGGCTCCGCCCATATCTGCCCCGCCCCCAGAGGTTCCCGTGCTCCGCCCATGTCTGCCTCGCCCCTGGGCTCCGCCCCCACCGTCACGCCCCCTGGGCTCCGCCCATGCCTGCCACGCCCCCTGAGGTTCCCCAGGCCCCCTGGGCTCCACCCCCCCCTGCCACGCCCCCGGGAGGCCCCGCCACGCCCCCTGGGCTCCGCCTCTGCCCACCCTGACCCCCAGGAGGCGCTGCCACGTCTCCAGGGCACCGCCTTCACCCACCATGCCCCTGGGAGGCCCCTCCATGACCCCAACTCCGCTTTTGCTCGCCTGCTCCCCAGCCCCTAAGGGCACAGGTCCCTGACTGAGCAGCCTCCTCTCTCTGCTTGGCTTGCCGGGTGGGTTCGCGTAAGGTCGCGGTGCTGACACGAAAGCCAGCTCGGGCCGTCTCAGGCCTGGGGGAGTCCCAAGGGTAGTGGGCACGGACGTGCTCCCGCTCAGCTGCCTCGCCATGCCGCGCTGTCCCAGAGCTGGGCTCAGTGGACATCAGGACTGACGCCTGCCCCGGTGGCTGCGAAGCCTGACTTCCCTGACCCAGCCTCACGTGGCAGAGCGCAGTCACGGGAACTGTGTGGTCTGAAGCGCGATGCGTGTGTAGGAAAGCCCGGATCCCGCCTTCCCGTAGCTGCTGCTGCAAGCGGGGTCACGGGGACCCCACCCCGCTGTGCTCGGAGCGGTGGGCTGTGACTACCCTACAGTGTCAGTTCAGCTCATTTTTCCCACGATTAAGAGAGAGGGAGGGGGCATCCCCAACATGGTGCGGACCCCACCGTGCCCCCCAGCTTCAGCCAGCCCTGGATCATGGCCCTGCATGTCAGGCGTGCCTGGGTGTCTCCGGACTTGAAGCAGGGACCTCCCCGTGTTGGCACGTGCTGCATGCTCCTGTGAACCACCCAACAGGGCGGACAGGTGGCCTAAACCAGTGGCCTCCCACATCCCCACTGAAAACAGCTCCCCCTGGGCAATTTCTTCCTCTCCTGAGGTGCAGAGCAGGGTGATGGCAGCGAGCCAGGGGGAGAGGGACAAGACCACGGGTCACACAGAGCCATGCGGTCACCCGGGGACGGGGCGTGTGCCGAGGGGGCAAACCAGGGGTCTTAGAAGGCTGCCTGGAGGAGGTGATGCTCAGTGGCCAGTGTGGCCATTGGAGGCCATAGGGCTGCAGGGAGGATCTGGGCTCAGCCCAGGCAGTGCGGAGGGCAGGAGGTGGGTGGGCTCTGGGAGGCGCGGTGCAGAGGGAGGCCGGGCCCTGGGGAGGCCCTGGCCCTGTACCCCTCCTCGGGCCGACGCTCAGCCTTTGCACCCCCTCTCTAGAAGCAGGGGAGAGGAGAGGCAGGAAGGGGGAGCCTGGCTCGGGCGCAGGCAGCAGGCGAGCTCAGTTCCTCCGTCTCAGGGTTCCTCCTCTAGGTGTTCTGGACACTGCAGCCAGGTGTCCCCACACGTGGCCCAGTGTTCCCTGAGGGGGAGCAGAATCTCCCTGGTGAAGCTACCTCGACCCCCCAGAAGACCCTGTGTCCCACGATCCTCTGCTCCCCGAGGTCCCACAAGCCTGTACACATTTAAATCCACACCCTGAGTCAGGGGGGTCGCAGAAACCGAGGTCCCTGGTTTACGTCGTCTGCCCGTTGGCGGTTGATCCTGAGCACAGAGCGGACTCCGTTTTTCCCAGGAGAGTAGCTTAGGGTCTCGTCCACACAGGCCTGTGGACACCGGCCGCCTGACCCCTGTGGGGCGTCCTGGGCACTGCGGGTGCTGAACGGCACCCTGCCCCACCCCGTGTGCCAGGAGCACCCCAGCCAGCTACACATCCCCGGCATCCACGTGTCTGGTGTCCTCTGGGTGGTGGTGGAGGGGCCCGGGCTCGGGGGACAGCGCTGACACTCAGGGCCCCACAGGTTCATCAAGAAGCTGGAACACACCTGGAAGGCCCTGGTCCACGACGGGGTGAGTCTTCACCGTGCATGTAGTGACGGTCGCCAGGGGCCACAGTCTCTGGGGTCTGAGTCCCAGCGGGCCGCCCCACTCCTCGAAGCAGTGCTCGGAGGGTACAGGCAGGCGCCTCAGAACTCATCCTGAGAAGGCCGAGGCAGCCGGCAAAGGCCTCCGGTGTTACAGACCCAGCCGGGGTTGGGATTCAAACCCCAGTGGGCTCTGTGAGGCCAGCCCCGTTATCCAGCAGGCACGGGCCGGCGCAGCGGGACGTTCTGACAAAGCGGGGACCTTGCTTGGCCGACTCCCGCCTCGCCTCGCGGGGGGTTTTTACGTCTGCGAGAGGCCGTCCACGAAGGGCCTCCCCGGGAGAGGCGGCCCTCACCCCGTTCTCCGCCAGCTGCTGTCAGTCCCCGGAGAAGCCACTGTCCCTGTGCCTCGGGTCCTCTTCCTGACAGGCGCCGCGCCGCCGGGGACCTCTTCCCTGCTCCACTCCTCCCCGCGACGTGCAGCGTCTGCCGGGGTGTCCTAGCGCCCGGGCGCCCCTCACCTTTCCCTCCTCTGGCAGGACACGGTCTCCGTGCACCGGCCCAGCTTCTATGCCGAGCGCTTTTTCAAGTTCATGAGCAACACGGTCTTTCGGAAGAACTCCTGTGAGCAGCCGGGCCCCGCGGTGCTGAGGGACTGGGGAGAGGGTGGTGGCCCCGAGCCCCTGGGCCTGCCGAGGCTGGGGACCTTGCCCAGAGATGGGTGGTCAGCGTGTCTGCCCGCGTGGGGTTACAACGCGGGTCTGGAGCCTGTGCCCGGGCGCCATGTCCCCGTGCTGTGACACGGGGAGCCGCCCCCGTCCGCCTCTGTCCCCATCCGCAGAGTGGTGACGGAGGGGGGACGGCCTGCAGGTGGCTCCATCGCAGACCGCGTTGGCGGGTGGGCTGAGTAACCGGAACCCCAGGGGAGCCCCAGGGACGGCAGGGGCGGGGCGCTGGGAGGAACGGACCTGAACAGGTGGCAGGCCGCGGTGCGAGTGAAAGGCCAGACGGGGCCCAGGGTCTGACCACCACCGTTCCTCTCCAGCCCTGAAGTCCTCGCCGTCCAAGAAGGGGCGCAGTGCCCTGCTGGCCGTCAAGCCCCTGGGGCCCACGGCCGCCTTCTCGGCCAGCCAGATCCCCAGCGAGCGGGAGGACGCGCAGTATGACCTTCGGGGGGCCCGCAGCTACCCCACGCTGGAGGACGAAGGTGAATTTGTAATCTCAGCCGGGGTCGCTGGCAGCACCATGTGGAGGCGCCCTGAGGCCTCCTGGTGAGGCTGGCCGGGCCCAAGGCGTAGCCCCAAAGAGTGGGGCCTGGGCCTAGGGAGCCGGGCACCAGAGCTGTGGGGGAGCTGAGGCTGGGAGGCCAGGCAGCCTCCTGTGCTCAGGTCACTGAAAGTGTACTGGATGTCACAGGGAAGAGGCCTGGGTCCCCAGCGTGTGTCAGGGAGTCCAGGCAGGGGATGCTGGGAGAACAGCCCCGAGGAGGGGACAGGATAGTCATGCAGGGGCCGGCGCGAGGGGTAGGCAGGGCAGGGTGAGGGCCTGGTAGGTTGTGGGGCCTAGTCCTGTCTCAAATGGTGGGAAATTCAACCTAATGTGCCGGGAGGCGAGACTGGAGCGTGGGCGGCAGGTGGGAGCCACCCAGAGGGGCATGGGCCGGGGAGGGTGAGCAGAGCCCTGGCAGGGCCCCAGCAGCAGCCCGAAGTGCCCTCCTCCCCACAGGCCGGCCCGACCTCCTGCCCTGCACGCCGCCTTCTTTCGAAGAAGCCGCGCTCCCTGTTGACGAGAAAGCCACTACAGCTTCCATCGCCACAACCCTGTCCTCCACCTCTCTCTCCATCCCGGAGCGGTCACCCTCGGAGACGTCCGAGCAGCCGCGGTACAGGTGGGCGGGGCGGCCAGGGCGGATGGGCGGGGCTCTCACCAACAGGGGGGCCGCTGGACCAACCCTCTCCCCGCCGCAGCTGTCCCCAGGGCGAGGGTGGCTCTCTCCCCACCTGATTGCATCTCTCTGCAGGCGGCGCACGCAGTCATCCGGACAGGACAGCCGGTGAGACCCCGGCGCCCTCCCCTGCCCTCAGCGTCCCCGCCCGTCCCCCGCCAGAGCCCTGCTCTCCCACCTGGGTCCTGCGCCAGCTCAGGCGTTGAGACCGCGCTGGCCTGAAGGCTCTCGCCATCCCTTTCCTAGTAACCTTGGTTTCCACTTAGAGATCTAAAGGGAACGCAGCGAGATTCCTCCTTCTGCCCACGCGCCTCTCCCCGGCCATAGGGCATCCCGCCTGCACCTCGTCCTTGGGGCTCCTCCCTCCTCCCTCTCCGCGCCCCCTTCTCGAGGTGGGTGGGCCCTGAGTGGCAGCCTGTGGCCCAGCGGGGCAGGCCGGCCCTCAGGCCTGGATGTCAGCACAGGAGCGGCCCAGTGGGCGCTGGGCAGGGTGGGGCAGGAGGGACACTGAGACTAGGCCTCCTGCTCAGGCCCCAGGAGGAGCCACACGCGGAGGAGGACCTGCAGCAGGTGACGGTGCAGGTGGAGCCCACGTGCAGCGTGGAGATTGTGGTCCCCAAGGAGGAGGACGCGGGGTGAGTGTGGGCAGGGCGGTCCGCGTGCACCCCCAACCATCGGGCCTGAAGAGGCAGCAGCATCCGGAACTCCTTCTTTTCTTTCTTTTTTGTTTATTATTTATTTCTTTTTTTTTTTAAAGAGAGATTTTTGCCATAGGGTGTGTGTGCTCATCAGAGAAACAGAGACAGAAGGCGAGAAGCCACCTCCCGGGAAGATGGCCATGCCGCAGTCCCCTCTCCTCCATTCTCTCGGGGTCTCAGGCACGCACACGCGCCCGGCCTGAGTTATAAGCCACCGGTCTAGAACTCAGACTGCGGTCGGCTATGTGGGAGCGCAGCGATGTAACCGTTACAGTGTCTCCTCGTCCCTTATTCACTGTTATTTGTAGTAGTTTTTAATTTGCTATGGGGCACATGTACTCACCAGAGAGAGAGAGAGGGAGAGGGAGGAAGCAAGCTACCAGGTCTGGGACTCGAACTGTGGTCAGCCATGTGGGAGTCCAGCGCCTTCACCACCACGCCACCCGTCCACCCCAGAGTCTGTGATTCCTTGATTTACGGCTGTTCTCAACCAGCTGGAGGCGTCCCTTCCACGGGAGGCTGGGCCACACCCGGGACATCTGTAGCTGTCCCCCACACCTGGGGGAGGCTGGGCTCCTGGTGTGGAACGAGTGGGCCGAGGCCGCTGCCCCGCGCCCACACGGAGCGCGCTCCAATCCAGCGTCCACAGGGCCGGAGGGACCGGGCGGTCTAGCTGTCTCTGGGCCTCGAAGTATTGAAGGTTTCTCCGTTCACCTTCTTGGTATTCATCGTAGTTTTATTGAATTTTGATGTTTTAGAAAGTGACCTAAATTTTTTTTTCAGAAGAATTATTTTAATTTATTTATTTAAATTTGACCAGAGGGTGATAGAGAGAGAGAGTGAGAAAGCAAGTCAGCAGGCCCGGGACTCGAACCACAGTTAGCCACAGGAGAGTCCAGCACCCTTAACCACCAAGCCGCCTGCTGGCCTCTCTCAAAACTTCTTTAAAAGGTGATTTTCTGGGGGGAGAGTGGGCCGGTAGGTGGCCCCCTGCTGGACTCCTACATGGCTGTGACGTGGCCGTCCCCCTGGGGCGATTCCTCGTTCTCTCTGTCTCTGATGGGCACACGCGTCCCCTCACTTGGGGGGAAGCAGACATAGAACATGGCCGTGGACGCGCAGAGAAGCGTGTCGTCTGCTGGGGGGACGTTCTCCGCAGCCTGTCCGTGCAGTGCCGTGGCGTGCAGCGCCCCTCCCTCACCTTCCTTCCCGTCGGGCTGGGGTGTGCGCGGTTCTGAAGCCTCAGTCCCGGCACGTCCTTCTCACTTCTTTTTTCTTTTAAGAGGTTTTTACTGTAGGGTGCGTACGCTCACCAGAGAGACAGAAAGCGGGAAATCACCCCCTCGAGGGATGGCCACACCGCAGCCCCTTCTCCAGTCTCCGCTCCGGATTTTGGGCATGTACGCACACGCGCCCAGCGTGAGTTTTAAGCTGCTGGGCCCGGGACTTGAACCACGGTTGACGACATGGGAGTCCAGCGATGTAGCGATTATGCCATTTGCTGGTCCCGACATTCTTCTGGCTTTTCTAGTTGTTTTTTTTTTCCTCTGAGTTCTCATTGACTTCTTTTCTGAGGGCCCCCAATGGGCCTTCATGCAGCGATCGCCTCCCCCCCCCCCGCTGCCTCCCCCAGGATCCCAAGCCCCCCTCCCCC